AATATCAAGTGGATATTTATACTTAATAAAACTGAAATTTTCTCGACTGAAGTAGTAAAAGGCTGTCACGAAGTCCGTTCGATGAAGTTGCCACGAAGGATATGCGTTATCTAATGAAATAATAGTCTGCGAAAAACTACAAATCGAAGTGCTAAAATTCATAATAAATACATACATTTTAAAAGTTCAAATAGAAGGTAAGATTTGTTAATGTAGACATTTAAAGTAAAAATTTCAAAGCCATGTATTTAAAGTAATGGTCGCCTCAATAAAAAATAATAATTTACGTATTTCTTTCAGCCTTAAATACATAAATACGTATATACATACATATACATACCTACATTTATGTAGCTCGAAAATACTAGATATACAGCCAATAATCAATTACCATGGCAGTTCAGTTGAACCCGTACAATATCCCAAATATGAATCTTCCACTCACCATAACGCCTATAATACCTGCCTTAAAAGATTTGTCCGTTTCTACGGCGGCACCGTCAAAACCGGATCAGCCTCCATCGCAGCCGGATTTAACATTTCATTGTATGTGCTGTCCGGCGTATTTTGTGAACCCTTACATGCTGTACCAGCACATGAACAGCCAACATCCACAACCACCACCAGCCGAAGGGATTGATAAAATCCCATCCGAAGACGATGACCAAGATTATAGTTGGGTGCTTGAGCCAGTTTGCGAAATAGTCGATATGGGTGGCGATGGCGATGATGATGATTCGGATAGCGATTCTGACTCGGACGATGACTCGTCGAGCAGCTCATCGCAGAGTTCTAGTAGCAGCTCCTCCACTGTAACAGCCTCCAATTCAAATTCTAATACCCAAGACTCGATTTCAAATGAAGGGCACGGTGGCGGTGAGGATAATACTCGCATGACCGCAGTAAGCACTAACACCGTGCCGCCGGCTATTTATGAAGAAATTGTTGGTGGCGAGTCGACGAGCTCCTTAAGTACGCCTAGTGAGTCTGCCTTTCCAATGTTTAAATTAAAGACTGCAGATCCACGTGAATCTACTTCGATTATTTTGCTTAATCCGTGTCACACAGTACAACCTTTGCAATCAAATACAAGCATAACACCTGTCGTGATTAAGCCGGGAAGGGGAAGGCGCAGCGCTGCACAGAACGCTCAGCTTGCTGCTTTGACTAATGGTGATCAGAAGTGTTTTCAGTGCGCACATTGTGAGGCCTCCTTTCAAAATGCGGGCGATCTTTCCAAACATGTTCGATGTCACATCACCAATAAGCCATTCAAATGCGCCATCTGTGAGAAAACATTTACCCATATTGGCAGCTTAAATACGCATATTCGAATACATAGCGGCGAGAAACCGTATAAATGCGAAATGTGTCCAAAGGTAATTTAAACAATTTTTTCTTTAATTAATGAACTTATGCCAAAATTCTAAAACTCCTCTAAAATCTTCTCTCTCAAAGGCATTTACCCAGTCAAGCAGCCTAATGGTGCACGTTCGTTCTCACTCCGTACGCAAGCCTCATCAGTGTCATTTATGTGATAAAGGTGAGTTGTATAACTTATTAAAACTTCTATTCATTTCGTTATTGAGTTTTAAAAATCTACATCATACCTAGGCTTTATAAACTCCAGCTCTCTTGTGTTACATCTGAAGTCGCATGATGAAACTGAAGTCTTTAATTGTCCTGAATGTGACAAATCCTTTAAACAGGAAGATTTACTCGAGAAGCATTTACAAATGCATACACAAGAACTTGTCTATCAGTGTTCCATCTGCCATGAAGCTTTTCGCACATCCTCTGAGTTAGTGCAGCACATGAAGTGTCACATGGGAGAAAAGCCGTTTACGTGCTCCATCTGTGATCGTTCTTTCACCCAATCTGGTAGTCTTGGCATACATATGCGCATTCATACCGGTGAACGACCGTTTCAATGTAAACTGTGCGATAAAGCTTTCACGCAGGCATCCAGTCTTAGTGTGCATATGAAAATTCATACGGGTGAAAAGTCGTATCCTTGTCATATATGCGGAAAATCCTATAGTCAACAGGCGTATCTCAATAAACATATACAGGCCCATCTGACAGCAGGACAGACTGATTCGACGGCGAATGCGGCCAGTAATTTACCGTTTCCAACTGGTGTCATGCAATCGCAGGAAACTCTCGTTTGTATAGTTTGTGGCGTATTACATAAAGATGTAAACTCATTGGCATTACACGTTACACAGAAGCATGCTGTGCTGTTGAATAACAGTGTTCGCAATGCTGCGGCACAAATGCAGATGTCGTCCGATAATGTCAGCGAAGAGGAACGTCGATTGCAGGAGCAACAGTACATGCAGCAACTGCAGTTAATGCTGCGCACCGCGAATGGCGGTGCTTTGCAACATATTGCAATGGATGTGGATATGGGTAATGGCGTAGTAAAAGTTGAAGTGGAGGAAGAGGAAACCGGAAGCTTTGAACCGGATAGAGAATATAAAGAAAGTGCACAAATACCAGACTTGGATATCATTAAGCAGGAATTCGACCCAGAATCTTTCGAGGATTATGGCGCTGAAGAAGAAGTGGAAACCGAAGAATGAATTATATTATGTCTTTAAAAATATTTGTATAGAATACCGTATCCTGGCAACAATAACATTATATCAAAGGACGTAAATTTTGGCCAAACTCAGATAATTTATTTGCTATGCATTCTACATACATACATATATATATACTGCTGTTGGTCTAATTTTACATATTTAAGTACATGCATACATACGTGCATATTTTAATAATTAGTATATACACCAGCTTTGGCATTTTTTACCTGCTCTATTTCAGTATTGTTTGTATTTAATAATTCTTTACCTGTGTCCACAGCATGATTTTAAAGAAATACAATTTTTGCTTGCATACATTATGATCCCGATTTCATTTCGAATGTAAACTACTGATATACGGGGTTATTATTAGTTTATTTTGTGAATATACATACTTATTTTGTAGATATACATATATCTGAGACAATTCTAATACAAGATTTTATAATTTTTAAAGAAATGTGGTTAATTATAAAACGGATTGTAGGTAACCCAATGTGCGCGGGATTGTTCTTTTTCGCTTTTATGTGTGGTAAATAAGGACTTGTATACATCGCTAGCCTTAGGGTCCTTTGCAACGCTGTAGTCGTTTTTCAAACGTTTCATCTCGGGATCTTCTAAAGCATCCTCAGCCGCACCTACACGTTTTAAATTGGCAACAAGTTTCATTTTTGTTACGGCTGCTGCAGTTTTGCTTGTTGAAGGTCCATTTGCACACAGCTTTTCTTTTTTAGTAAGCTTCCCGTTCGTTATGGTGCTTTTCTCCTCATTTATACCTTCTGTTTTATTCCGTTCCTGCTTTGCCGTCTCCTCTTTACCAGTGAAAGTTTCATTAATCTTCTTTTCCTTTTTCTCCTTCTTATCCTTTTTACAAGTCTTACGTTTTACATTACGCATCTCCATCTTAGCTTGCATCAGTTCCAAATCTTCATCTGCTGCATTGAGAATAACCACATCTTCGATACCAAAGGGTATTAAACAAAGGGGGCATGTGCTACCACCACTATTGTCACGTTTGATTTGCTTAATTGCACGCTCAGCTATGACGCAACCACAAGTCCACAACGCCACAAAACGAAATTTACCAGACATTTCAAGGCCACTTAATTTGCAAATATAACGAGCATGTCGCGTGTCCAACAGACCCTCGGGTTTATCTTCATCAGTGTAAGCTGGATTTGGTGTTAAGTTGAGACTTTTTATATCTTTAAGACTGCGAATGTGTTTGATAGATTCAGGCATTTTATCTTTTTCCAATAATTGCTCAATGAGGCTTTGCTTGGAGTATAAACGTCCAAGGCTGCACATTACAATTGGCTCTTGTAAACGCTGTTGGGTAAGGGCACAATGCAGCCAACGAAACTCGCGTTCTGCATCTTTATCTTTCTGGAATTAGTGTGAAAAGAGGAAATTAATGTTCAAATAGTTACCCTCTAATACCAATAATAAGTCATCCATTGGCACGCACCTGTTCTGGTTTTTTAGCAGTCCGCACCAGCTCATCCCGACGCGGAATGGTACCTCCATCGCAACCCATTTTTTTCGACTGCGTTTAACCACGAATAAAAACTTTTAATCTAATTAATTGATCCACGAACTGTAAAAATTATTCTGCAAATCCAATATAGATACGAAATCGATCAGCAAATAAGCCATAAACAAACTGCTTCTTTATAAGCAAGGCATTCACAATAAACAAGTGATTTGCGAAGAAACTTCTACCTAGGCTACCAAATAAGCCACTGTAAATAGGGTAAATCGATACCTTCAAGGTATTACTCAAATCAGAACTTGTACTTGTATCAAACAAGGTATCGATACCTACTCAGTATCGGAAAGGTATTGAGTATTCGTACATAGAATTACGATTTTGCAGATATTTCAAAAATATTGAATTTTTTTCACAAAAAATATGCATTTTTACAAGATAATTTATCTTATTATATTTATTCATACAAAAACAATAGATTACATTTTTACAAGATTAATAGATAAAGTTTTTTCATATAAAATAAGTTTAAGAAAATAACTCCTTTTTTGTCATATTACTCCAATAAACTCAACTTTTCCAAGTGTTTTCCTGAAAGGCGGTTTCGAGATTTAGATATACGGGCATGTTCTGAAATTCGAAACTTTGAACTCGACTTGATTTGCCAAATATTTTTTAGTTATATCTGATGAAAAGAGTGAATATTATGATCGAAAACCGTAAAAGAAGTTAATGCGATACGTTGAAATTTTCGAATTTTAGAAAATGCCTGTACCTGTTTTTAGGAAAGCCTCTAGCAAGGGACAGATGACCCAACAACCGTTATGTATAAACGGGCTCGCTTGTGTAGTGCGCATAGCTTCCCATTCCTCTAACGGGTGGCTTTTCAAAGAAGATGCTGAAGCATGGTAAATTTTGCGCTTAGACTGTGTTTATACACGGAAACTTTTGTCGACGCGATTTTTCGCATTCCCTTTTGGTGTTGCTCGTTTCATTTACACACGGCGATTTGTGTGTATGCAATTGTTGTTGTCACCTGCGAACAACGGTTCAATTTACACAGACGAACGAGAGCACAACGCGTGTTGCCCGAGCACGAGCAACTCGGCAACAAAAATCGCCGTGTGTAAATGAGCACTTACGATACAAGTACTTTTTTTTCGATACCTACTTGGATCGCAGTAAAAAGTATCGAGTAAAAAACTACTTGGTAAATTGAGAAAAGTATCGAGTATATACTTAGATTTACTTGTATCGATTTATACCTAACTGTAAATGGAAAGTAAAAATCAGCTGTTGCTTTCGATGTAAACAAGTGTGCAATTTTGAAGTTTTCGCTAAAATACGCTTTTAATTACGAACTATTTAACAAGACGTCTGCTAACTTTCCAAGGAGAAAGAAATATTATCACCCAGAACACCAGTAACAGCAAGAGCAGATAAAAAAGCAGCGAATGATACGCTTCGCATCGTAGAGGAATAACCTGCGCTCCACTTTGCCAACACAACCCAAAACCCAAAAAAAAAAATAAAAAATAATAATTACGAACTAATTTCTCTCCTACTGAAATTTTTACAATCACCGAACCATGCCTGAATACCAAAGTTGGACATTTCCACATATACCCGCGGAACTGGCGTAAGTAAAATACCTGGTATTAAACAATATTCGATGGCCTAATAATTGCTTGAATTAATTCATCCAGTGAATTGCTCTTCCAAAATGATGAGAAGTTGGTTGTGGTGGGTGTTATAGGGAAATCAGCCTTTTCAGATAGCAATAAAATGGTTGCTATGGGTGTGTTGGATAGTCACCCTAGCCTTCTGGATCACCAACCACAAGAGGTAGTTCTGCAGCATCGTGTATTTATATGTACATATGTATATAGCAGGTATCTTTTAATTAGGGAACTATTCGGCTTTATTACAACCGAAAAAAGTCCATGTTGCTCCTGCACTTCGAAACTACGTTCGATGCAGCTTGTATGCAGAAGATGCTTGAGGAAGAATTAGCAGAGGATGCTTACGGTCATTTTTTGCTATTCAATCAGCGCGTGCGCAATCGCTTTGCCCGAATGTTGCTCTTCGCTACACAAGTTTGCCACATTATCGTTTTCGTTGAACTAAGTGTTACTTTCGATGCATCCTTGTTGATGATCTTTAGAGCTCTGAAGATTATAAGGTTTGTACTGCTTAGCAGGCTATTGCTACTTTAATAAATATGGCTTTCCTTGGCAGGGACAAGTACATATTAAAGTTTTTGCCAAAATTGGTTAAAAACTCTAGCACTGGCACTTTTTTGGGAAAATCTGCACGTTTATGTTCGCCGCGTGTGCTATTCCTTTTCGAGAATTACCCAGATGGTTACGGTAATAAAAATTGATTAGGATTTAAGTTTTTTAAACTTTATGCTATTGAATTTCAGAGAAAACAAGCGAATGCATATCCAAACTGGAATTCGAGGTGGAGGATAGCATTTATAAAATGCTCCGTAATGAATTTATCATCACCAACAACAGGTGGGTGCCTTTTAATATATCTACATACAAATATATAAGCAGTTGTATTTTATTCATAATAAAATATTTGCAATCCCCAGTGCCATGTCGCTATTCTCTATACCGAGCAATAAGCGCTTTGTTTATTATAACACTGATCCTTCATTACGAGAAGATCCTTTGTTGAAATCAATAACGATGCTGCAAAGCTTTTTGCAGAAATCTAATTTTAAAGAAGACGATGAAGATGATCTTGAAGATTTGCGACCTTTCAAGGTATTAAAAGAGATATGGGTATAATAAATCATAACTCTATAAAACTGAAATTTTATAGGGTTTTGGTAAACCGCTAATTCAATGCAATCCAGAACGAACTCAGCCAACTGTGGAAGAGATGTTTCTTAAAAAGAGAAATTTTATGGATTTATTGATGGATCATGTCGATGAAGCACTACAAATAGGCTTTGATGATAGTTCGACGAAATTCAAAGGCAAAAACCATTTTGTGGTATGAATCAGTATAAATACATATAATGTATTTAAAATCCTCAAAAATTCAATTGGTTTGCTGTTTTAAGATACTTCCAGCAAAGGCTTGGTATGAAACATTCAAAATGCTTCATAGAATTTTCATCGAAAATCCAGATAATCCCAAATTTGAGGCCAACGATGCAGATTATGTAAGATAGAATATTAAACTTAACTCTTAAAAGTCAGTTATACATAGTACATATGTATTTGTTTCAGAAAGCATATTTGGAGAATTTCAATAAAATTATGGACATCGATGACGAGTAAGTAAAATTTATACAAAACCCTGGGAGAAAATGTTGTGAGACATCTAATTAATTATTGCAGGTTCTTTAACGCTTGCTGTGATATAGGTTTGCAGAAAGCTTATGCAATGTACAACAACCCAACTTTGACGCACTACAGTAGCACAGTGCATAAAAAACTGGTAGAACAAACGTATTATGAAAATTAAAATGGTTATGGCTAAAATTTGTACTTTGCAAGGTTGAAGAGGCCGTTTCATTATATATGAAATATGCCCGCGGCACCCAGACCGTCATAAACGAGACTAAGCTGCGTGAAATGTGCGAACGATGCTGGCGAAACGGAAAACAACAATGCGAGATGCCAAGTCTACGTGGCAATCCATGCGTGCTCCCCAAACACATTGTTAAAGAACCGTCAGAACACAGCAGCGCACACGTATTTATCTCTACGTGCAATTGTGGTCGAACTCAGGGCCGGCGGGAAGATCCCTACACTATGAAGCATGCCAATTACGAATTCTATGAATATATGGCTAACAATTGCAATCTGTGCGCTAAAGTAAAAAAAGTTCATTTTCCAGTTTTTGAGCCTTCCATCAATGATTATAGGTTAGTGCAGACGAAAGGTTTATTTAAATTCATATAAAATATCCCTAATCCCAAATTTTATGAACAGAGCCGCCGAATTCGAAATTGCTTTTCCAAAGCTATCGATACATGACTCCATTGATTTCGCTGAACGTCATGATCTACGCTCTCCCGATTCTATTGACTCGGACGAGTGCTCTCAGCCACTTACTGCCTCACAGGGTACGCATACCAATCTTAGCCTGGTGTCCACTGACGAATTGGACAAAATTGCTGTTGATGATGGTGATATGCACAGTTCCGAAGAATCCCTTAATGAATTGGTTATACAGGTGAAAGATAAAGATGCACAGAAAGAAGAGGAGAAGGAGCGAAGCATATACAGGCAACCCTCCACCACTGAATATCTGCCTGGTATGGTTCATACGGAATCGCCACTGGGATTGTTGCCGCGTTTTCCAAGTTGGTCGTTGGTATGTGTTGGGCCAAGCTCGGTCTACAGTCACAACACTGGCCTATTGGAACACTTTCAAAGTGGGTTTCTTTCGGGCGCAAATTTTTTGCTTCCCTGGGATGTGCATGTCCGCCTGGAACATTCTGCATCGTGGGCATATGAAAAAACTCGGCTACGAAAGATGGGCGAGGTTTTCATACTGAAAATATTTGTTGGCTGCGAATATGAGTGCCCGCGCGGACACAGATTTATGATGAACTCACCGGATAAGGTATTACGCGGTGGATCAGGTATTTGCCATACAGTCTTCAATTACTATAGACTTCCTTATGTCATGCCCTTATTGCAGGAATACTTCGCGACAGTGGCAGTAAAATAGTGTATAACAATATGCCGCTGTATTTCCCTTGTCCCTGTCGTTCACATAAGGCGGATGTGGCTCAATTAATGCGCGTTCATGTTGTAACTCCAAAAGCGCCTGTAAATGTTATTTTAGATCCGAGGGTATGAATCTGATTCTAATATAATTATGCGTCCTTAATTTCATTGCATCCTCTTAGGTGCGTACGGGGGAGCGCGATTATATTTTCACCATGGGTCTACCTAATCCTCCAAAACTAACTCAAAGTGCTTATTGGATTTTACGACTTCCCTACGTGTATCAAGGAGACGAAGGTCCAATAGCACCACCCACCGAAATAACTGCAACCAGTGCAATCAATTATGGTTGCCTACTAGCTGGTATGTTTGGCGTAAGCGAAACGGAAGTAGATGACTGAAAAATCACGCTGTCTACGTAGCCGGAGCAATTTGAATTTTTAACCGGTCAAGGAGTGTGATTTCAACAGCTTTCCCACAAATTTATGGGAATGTTTTATGCTGTTGCAGAAAGCGCGAAAGTATAATAATGCAACATCAGCTACATGGTTATTTTGTAATCTATATTTGTACGTAATTTCTTTTCATTGAAAAAAAAAAAACAGATTACGTTTAGTTTGTAAAGATAAAAGAAAATAATCAAGATTTATGTCACTCGTGCATGATTAAAAGAAATCGTTGCGATTTTATCCTAAATACTAACGATTTGAGTTTCCTTTACAGCTGGTACTACGGATCCATATATTAGCGCATATTTAATTGCGCTAACTTCGTTTGCAGTTATAATCTAAATATTTTCTGGTATTGAATCTTCACAACGATTTTTGTTCTTCAGAAGGTATGCTGCCAAGAAACTTATGGGGTCTGGTGGCCGTTCACGAGCCAACGTCTGCAATCCATGTAGTAATATCGGTGCTACTGTTTGGTCTAAATATTGTCGGGTGGGCAGTGAGCTCAGATCTGGACGTGGCTTCTTACATTGAGTTGTCGTAGACAACTGTTGATTTGTTCCGTTTGCGGCTGTGTCGGTAGGAGCTTGCTGATCGGGTGCCAGTTGCGGCGTGGCTGATCTATCATTTCTATCCATTACTTCTGCAAACAAAAATATATTTGTAATGGGGATACACTTCCTTGTATGTACATATTTACTAACCTTCTTCGTCCAAATATCTAAGAATAATAAAACACAAACAATAGCTAACGAAATTTTATATTTCCGACGATTCAGTTCATATGCTTCAGTTTTTATTTTCGAGATTTGATTTAAAAATCAATGCCAATCTAAAAAAGAGCCCGAGTACTTCAACGCAGAATTAAATTTTTTTTACCTCGGAGAATTCACAATGATTGTAATGGGTGGTACACATTGGCGATCAAAATCGACAGTTTTTTTTTTGCTCAAATTTCATTTCCCTGTATGACCATGTGACCACACGTTTTCGTCAGTCAACATCGAACCGCAAAAAATTTTCAAATATTACAAAAAAATTTATACACATAGTTTTACCCAATTCGCCACTTAATTAACATGCAAATATAGAAAATGCTTTATAAAATTTTTAATTGGTTTTTTTCATTTTTAATATTTTTGTCACGCTAGATTGGAAATGCCCAAATGTACTTCACCTAAAGCGCATCAAAACGAAATTAATAAAATAAAACTATGTTCACATTACCAACATAAAATACTTAGTTTCGTTTAAAATACCTCACTAATTTAAGCGCGTTCATACACGCGATTCTTTATTTGTCTTGACAGCTTTGTAGCAACCCTGTGTTATTGTTTATTTAACCAAAAGAGATCGCGAATGTGAGTAATTGCGTATATTTTTATATTCTGAGTTGTTTGTGGTAATTTTTTAGATTTTAGAAGAGTGATAAAAAGAGAAAGCTTCTGGAAATATTTTACAAACTACCACGCGCGACTATTAAAAACAAAAACGTCCAAACACAATGACATATCAGTTATGGGACAATACTTTTTTCGATTATTATCGATAAAATTAGAACCGACACTGATTTGTTCGTGATTTGGTTCTTGGTTTAAGCTTAGTATCCAGCTCTTAAGAAAACGGTCAAGAAAAAATTGTCATTATTTCGCGTGTGTGTCCAAGGAATTTTGACATTTTTTATACCTCACAGCCTGTTGCCTCACTCTTTCCTCAAGAAATAATGGAACGGGCATATATTTCTGTTGCAAACCTGGGTTGCCTTGTGCTCTTTTTTCACAAAAAACTTTAGAAAACCGTAGTAGAAATCGTACTAAATTTCTGAAGAACTGCGTACTGCCTTAAGGAAATTTGACTCAAGAAAATTTCTTAGCCATTTCTTGTACGTCATTTTATATGGAGTTTTTGCTTTTCTTAAGAGCTGGATACTAAGCTTTCAGATAAACTATGTACTTTCAACTTAATTTACTGAGAGACTTTACAAGGCGAAATTACTTAGTTTGTACTTAATTTATGCGTAAATTAAGATTGACCTCTAAATTACGCCAATGGGAACATAGTTTAAAATAATTTTTAATTGAATATGTTATTAACCACTTTAACTTTGTAATGTACATTTAGGATGCGATACGATAAAAGGGTTCTGGTAAAGTCTGAGCGATCAATCGGCATCGGCTAGTATCGGCACAAAATTGAGCATCGGCATCGGCCTTTTTTCGTCAATTCTTTGCCGATTATTTGGAATTTATTTTCATATGTTCAGGTGAAGTGAAAGACAACAGCCAACATCAAAAAGTATTTGCAGATAGCTCATAAAAATTATTATTTTTTGCTTGAAGGTGTTTCTACGTTTTCTCTATATAAAAGTAAGTTCGACAATTTTCTTTAATTTGGAGGATACGGTCAGCAATAAAAAATCATAAAAATTAACGATATTTGAAACTTGCACTTCATTTTACTAGAATTTAATGGCCTACAAAACTGCATACCAAAATTCTGATTAAAAAGTTTGAAATTTTGGTGAAAATAAGAAGGATTTTTCTAATTTTCGTGCAAAGTTTTAAATCTGAATTTATATGGTGCTTGTTGCATACCAGCTAAACTTGTATAAAAAAATAATAGACATTAAATACACAATAGACAAATGCCAAATGCCAAAACCGGTCAAAATATCGCAATTCTTTTATTTTGTGGACCACTATATGTATGCACATACATACCTAGCACATAAGTTCTTATGCATTGAGTGCAATAGAGTGTATTTCAGTACAAAACGAAATGAAATTTTATGGATTTATTTATTTATTTATCTTTATATTTTATATATTCAACAATTTTTATGAGCTTGAGGCCGTTTAAAGTTAAGTAAAACTTATTGTGGAAAAGCAACAATAATTTGAAAAAATGGTAGAAGTGATAGTTATTTCGGAAATCACCACAATTCCTCATCAGACTTCTTTCAGTAGGATTATAAATAAATTTATAAAATATATGCATGGGGCTGGGCTACGAGGCCATGTTGCTCCCGAGTTGTTGTGCTCTCATTAAAGTTATAAGTTGTGTTTTTTTAAGGCTTCGTGGATGAACTTTATGGTGTTTTCATTACTGCATTACTGCATAACAAGTCAATTAATTCAATGATTTGTTTCCTTTTGTTTTGTTTTTATGGAATCGGCCTCGAAATCAGCATCGGCCGATTCTTTCCCCCAAAGCCGATTAATCGGAATCGGCATCGGTACCGAAAAATAAAATTGGAATCGGTCGGCCTCTAGGTTCTGCTACTCGATCCCGCAAAATATCATTTCAAGTATCGGTATCGAATGCCAAAAATATCGATATGGTGTCGTATCATATCGAAATTCGTATTCCTAAGTCCCCTTTTAGACACGTCAAGCTTGATTTCAAGTCTGCTCGTTCGTTGGCGAAGGAGGTGAGAAGAGAGGGGAATAGTACAGATACCTCCGTACCGTCAATTCGTTTCAAGTTTTCTTGTCTCTTTTGATCTTTTCGTTGCTTCCCACTTAAAGGACCAAGGACTTGAATTCAATTAAAGTTGACGCGTGTGGAAGCAAATAGAAAACACAAAAGAGAATGGGAAAGAATTGCTTTCAAGACTTGACTTGTCTGAAAGGGGACTAATAGGTGCTCATTTACACACGGCGATTTTTGTTGCCGCAACTCGACGTTTGTGGGAGAGAGCGTGACGAGGAAAGTAGAGGTGCACCGAGTTGCTCGTGCTCGGGCAACACGCTTTGTGCTCTCGTTCGTCTGTGTAAATTGAACCGCTATTCACAGCTGACAACAATAATTGCATACACACAAATCGCCGTGTGTAAATGAAACGAGCAACACCAAAAGGGAATGTGAAAAATTGCGTCGACAAAAGTTTCCGTCTATAAACACAGTCTAGAGGCGACAGACTATCGATAGTCGCGACCAAAACGAAAGCATCGACAGTATCGACAGTGCTATCGATAATTGTCATTACTGGTCTGTAATTGTCATTTCATTAGCCATCCATTAAAAAGTGGAAAATTGTATTTCCACGCATATTAAAACAAAATTGTATTAAAATAATCCAAGAGTTGTTTACAATAGAATTGACAAGATGACAGAGCTGCTAATAGATCCACATATACGCGTGTGGGTTTTCCTGCCCATAGTGCTCATCACATTTTTTGTGGGTGTCATACGCCACTATGTCTCGGTGCTAATATCATCACAAAAGAAGGCCGAAATTACACAGATTCAGGATAGGTAGGTCATTAAATATTCAAACATTTGTTTTAAAATTATCACCATTACCGGTACAAATAGCCAGGCGATGATACGTGCCCGTTTGCTGCGTGAAAATGGAAAATACCTAACAGCTCATTCGTTCGCGATGCGAAAGAATTTCTTCAACCACGAAGAAACAGGATACTTTAAAACACAGAAACGCGCACCAGTGGCACAAAATTCCACTGCTATGCTAACGGATATGGTGAAAGGCAACTTCATCAATGTACTGCCAATGGTGATTATCGGTGGCTGGATTAATTGGATGTTTTCAGGATTTGTCACCACTAAAGTGCCTTTTCCGCTGACACTGCGCTTCAAACCGATGTTGCAACGCGGGGTAGAACTTGCTTCCCTAGACGCTGCCTGGGTATCGTCAGCATCATGGTATTTCTTAAACGTCTTCGGTTTGCGCTCTATTTACACACTTGTGCTGGGCGAAAACAATCAGGCAGATCAGACACAGGCGCAAGCAGACGCCATGACTGGTGCAGCAATGACAATGCCGCAGGATCCGAAAGCAGCTTTTAAAGCTGAATGGGAAGCTTTGGAAATCACAGAGTATCATAGTGCATTGAAAAATGTAGAAAAGGATCTGCTGCATTATGCCTTCGGTGGCGAAATATCGCTGGAGAATAGTGTGCGGCAGTAACTATACCATTCTAATATTTAAAGTATTTTCATTTTAGCTTTGGTATTTAATTTTATCCTGCCGTGCGACCAGGATGTTGGTGACTAGCGAAATACTGTAAATTTAGACAAATTTCGTAAAGAGAATAAATCGGTTTTATTTGACCAAAAGCGAATAATACTCTATGAAATAAAAAACAAGCTACGATAATTTAGAGTCACCCTTACATTAATGTATATAAATATATCTATGCGATGCCTTTTCAGGGAGCTTTCAATCCTACTTATTTGAGGACTTCAAAACTAATATCAATAGTATTTTTCCATGTCAGTAGGCAGTTCGGAAGCAGATGTTTCGCCACCAGGAGAGCCGGCTCGTTCAGTTGTAGCTGCTGATTTGGCTGGAGATGGCGGACGTGCGGCAGGCACTTTATATTCACGTGCTTTCTTTTTCTCCGTTCGCTTGGAAACTAAACGAAATTCATTGGGTAATTCTTCCTCAGAATATAGGCGGTCTGTAAAGTAAATTCGCCGTATGCGAACGTTGGCATGTATCTGCAGACGCACTGTTTCCAAGTAGTTGGTGCCGTAAGCACGGCGCGTGAAGTCGGCTAAGTTAAAGTGTATTTGATTCCAGCCCGGGGACATACCCATTGGCATAGCGGTGCAGAAGGGCTTGACAGACGTTTTACTTTGGAAATTTGAAACGCGGAAGCGGCGCATAAAACGTTGGTCATCTAAAATCTTTTTAAAGAAAGGGTGGAATAAAGAAACATAAGTTCTTCGTTTCCATGTGCTCATATTCCTTAAGGGGACTCACTTTAACTTCGAATGTAAAATATTTGTGTAGGTTTTTAATAAGCAACACTAAGAAGGGTAATTTGATCCCAAAGGACATTTTGGGATCTCGTGGTCCTGTGATGTAGGTGGTGGATACATTTGAACCTATAATTTCCATAACCACGGACTTGACATCCTCATCTACGACGCGTTTGATGTAACCGTTTTGTATCTAAATAAATATTGTACTTTTTCAATGTACTTTTTGCAGAGATTTTAATAAAAAACTTACATGTGTGGACCAGAATTGTAACGGACTGCTACCTAGGCTGTAAAACACAGAGAAGTAACCTTTCTGATGTCGACTTCGAAACATTGATGGCTATTAAGTATCTTATTCCTCGAAGCGTGTTGCAGTTTCAAAAAGATTTTTTTTATGAATATGGATGGAAAAGTTTTAAAAATGTTTGACAACTTTCAAATGTAAAGACAACGCTTCACAACAAGAACACACATAAGAAAATTTTTTCAAAAACGAAGGGCCAGATCTCTTTGTTTCATCTATAAAATGTTGGTTTGTTTAATATATTCCTTTCCAAATACTAGATCTAATTGAAAGGATGAAGGCACTTAGGGATCAGAATTACTATATCCCATGCTAAAACTTATTCAGCCTTATTCCATGTGAATAAATCGTTCCCATAATTTAATAGACAACAAATTTGTAAAATTTTTATGCTTTGCTTTATAATTTTTTGGTTATATGCATTTGTTCACATTGAATTCGCGATATGGCCGATTGAAATACGATCTTAAAATCAAATTTTGGCTTCGAAATGATAACAGCTTCAGTTGAGAATCGCATACATACATAGATGTATAACGTTTCGGCGACTTAAAATCTACCCATTAAGACAACTACCAGTTAAATTACCTATGATGTAACTCAGAACTCGCGTATGTGTAAGTGTTGGTTGTGCCAGAAATTTTTTCGATGGACCCGTATGAATAAAAACTAAGCAATTGCTTTTTCATGAAATTTCAGACCTTTTACCTAAGTTTATTTGAATAAATCGAGTAAAACTCTAAAATGTCAATTCAAAGAAATTGCCTAGTATTTATTCATAAGGCCCATTGTATTGGAGTTTCGGTTAGACGCGTCTTGTGATTGTACAAGGTTTAAAAAAGAAACCAACGAAACGAAGTTTTAAAATGTACGATAGATTTCAGGAATTCAAAATGCGCCGTTCACCCTAGGTGGTAAATTAAAGGCAAATTTGCATTTGCATTGATTTATTATTATTAAATACATGTTATACCAATTCAATTACTATGGTACTCATAATAAATGATTGAAAAATCGATTCATAGAATTCAAGTCAACGACGGTTACCGCCACCGCCTCCGCGGTTATAATTTGAACGTCCGCGATAGTTGTCACCACCGCCTCCTTGTCCACCGTTGCCTCCATTGCTGCCAGCATTTGACCAACCAGTGCCCTGTACCCGTCCACTGCCGCTAACCCAATTCTGGTTCCGAGATTGCTAGGAAGGAATAAATTACATCAAATAAATTATACATCTGGGAAGAACTCTCATATTTTGTATAGTTTACCTGATCGAACGACTGGCGTTGTTCAAATGACTGAGGTTGACGTTGTTGTTGTGCTGCATTTGAATATTGCTGCCAGTGACCACCACCAACGCCACCGCCGCTGCCGCCACTACCACCTCTTCCGCCGCCAAAGCTACCACCACCGCCACCAAAGCTACCACCAGCGCCACCAAAGCTACCACCAGCGCCACCAAAGCTACCACCACCGCCCCCGAAACCACCGCCACTGCCACCAAAGCCACCACCACCGCCACCGAAGCCCCCTCTGCCACCTCCACCACCACCACCTCTACCACCGCGGAAGTTACCTCCACCACCAGGCCCAGTAGAACGTTGTTGTTGCCAAGAAGGCATTTCTGGTGGAGGTGGTGCATGTTCATGCGCCCGTCCACCACGGTCTGGCACATTTCCTATCACATGCTTTTGAATTCTGCAGCCGGTATTTTTACGCACCTGTGCCGAGCTTGTTTTCTCTATGATAGCCAAGTCGGATCGCGCTGCTAGCAGAGCCACTATCGTGGTGTCATCCTTGGCATAGCGTAAACTATCCAGTTCTGGCATTTTCTTTTGATAACGTCCAGCAATTTCATTTTCCCTAGTTCTCATTTTTTCCGACCATTGAAAACTTTGTATAGTAACTTCGAGACGCGTTAGCAGCATTTGACGTCGCATGTTGTATTCAGCGTCGAGGCCCGACTGTATCGCATCTAACTTTTTCCATTGTGCATCTGAAAGTGGCTTTTTCAAACGTAATAAGGGTTCACTTAATACACCAGGCTTAGCTTGACGTTGTAGCTCCTCCACTTTAAAATTGAGTTTATCGAAGAAGGCCTTTGCAGACACATTCTCTGGTGGTTTGCCCAGACCAACATCCCGCGAAATCTGTTCCAATGAGCGCGCTGTATTTGTTTCAGATTTTGGGATTATAAGTTCTTGTTGAGCCGGTCGTAAGCGATAATTCATTTTCGTTGCCATTAATTCGATTACAAGGTAATCGAGTAGTTGAGCGCAAGCTTCACGCGTTTGGAAGCGGTCAGAAAGCGGTCCAGCCACGAAACATTGATAAGGACAACCCAATTCTTTCAGCATTGCAGAAAGTTCCATTGCGAATTCGCTTGGATCTTGTAACTCCGCCACATGCTCATCGGTTTTTCGCAAAACATGCAGTTCTTCCGTCAACCAACCAACGACTTCACGAAAATGTTCATTGCGAGTGCCTCCTTCCAAAGCTTTAATCAGTCCCTCGCTTTTTAAACAGGGTCCCTCATATGCTAGCGCGGATAAAGAATCTATTAATTCTAATTCACAGTCCATGGTTATTCACTGGAAATCTTATCCAGCTACCGGTCCTATTTTTGCTTGCAATTGGGCTGCGAAAGTGTGTATAAAGAGAGCTAAATGTCAAAATAGTATACAGACAAAACCAAAGCCCACCAGTGTTGCCAGAAAAACCAATTCGCTGGAGCTAAAACGGTCGTTGAAAGAGCTAAATAAAAAAATTATGGCGCGTATTCATAGTCCAGCAACTAAGTCGAAACTAACAAAGTTGAAATTTAAATTTAAGTATCAACTTAAAACTTACCTCTATTCATAGTCGCACTTCAGACTTCTACTAAGTAGTTTCGACTTAGTTTACGATATAGCAAAACGAGTGTGAAAATGTATCGATTTTTCTTTACGATATTTTGGAAAAATTACATTTTCATTAAATAATGTCAAGTTTGATCATCCGTTTATGTAATTTTTATTTTCTTTGCATGATTATGCAAAAGAATAAGGTATCATGTTCTTGTTAATTGTGTGAAATAGCCAGAACGACCGCAGTGATGTGAAGTCGATGTTTATCGAAAGCATGCTGTGAAACATAGTGTGGCGAATACTGCGGCTACACAAAGCGAACAACGAGAAATAGGCAGAATGTTCGAGGAATGACGTAGAATGTTCCACAAAGAGAAACGTCAAGTTGGATGAACACTGCGAACAGCGAGAGAAAGAGAATGAGCGATAAACTTCAGAATGTTCTAGAGTTGCCATAAATGCCAGCGCAGGTATATAAGGGCGCCGCCACAGCGAGTTGAGTTAGTTACGAGTTACAAGTCAGCAAGCTACAAGTAAAGTGAGCTGCGAATAAGCAAGCTATAAGCTTAATTGTGTTAACAAGTTCAGTAAAGCGTTGTAATTGCTTTAACAAGTATTGTAGTGTTTTTACTGTATTAGCAAGTATTGTAAAATTGTTTGTTGTACAATAAAGTTAATTGTACTACCATTCGGTCATCGTTGGCCTTTATTTAACAATCCAGCGATACGAACCGGAGGATTTCGGAAAACCGGACGAGGGTTCAAGGATAATCGTAACAATACAAATAGTAGATATCTGCGCAAATTTACTTTAAAAGAACTAGCGTGAAACTGACTTATTCTTTGAGAATTTATCTAAATTATTGCAATTATATAATTGTGATGTAGCCATGAACGAAAGACACAAGATCACGTAAGAACAAGAGAGTGAAAAAAGTCGATTTTTTTAGCGGGTTCTACGCCATCTTGTTTCACTGGAAAACGAGCGAAAAGTAAGCAAAGCAAAGAAAACAACGAAAACCAAAATTAGCCAAAATTATTGTCAGCCACTTTAAACGCACAATTTAGGTAAAATGATGAAACAAAATGCTTTAAAATGTGTTGTCATGTTGAATTAACTCTTCTTTAAGCGAAGCGCACATTATCGCGATTCCATCGTTGCGAATACGTTGCGAATTCGGCTGTTAACTTCGAATCCGCAAACGTGCGCACACTTGAGCGATTTTTTCGCGTCGATTTCCGATGTACAATTCACTCAATTTTCCCTTTATTTCGTGTATTTTCGCACTCGGCGTGCCCAAATCGTACAAAATACTATTATTACGAACGTTTTTATTAGTTTTTGTACATTACACGTTTATTTTTCTTTGCCTTTATTGCTGTGACACCTTTCTTCTTCTTCTTTGACGCCTTCAAAACACTGCAAGCCGCGTTTCGAACGCGTCAATAGAGAGGAACATTGAATGTTCGAAAAATTCGCAGCGACGGAATCGTGCAAGTGTGCGCTAGCGCATTAAAATGTATGGGTAGCATTGTTGTAATTTTTGGGCTTGCGGATTCGCAACGACAGAATCGCGCTAATGTGCGCTTCGCTTTACTTGAATAAAAGTGTAAAATAGTGGTGCTTGTGATGTAAACAAACGCTCAGCTGACGAACCCGCTTTCGCAAACTTTTTTCTCAAAACCAGTTACAAATACAACGTCGCGTTCTTACGTGATCTTGTATTTTTGGTTCATGTGTCAGTATATCCAGTAAAAAAACTGTGGTGAAGTCCTTTATGGGGATAAAGTTTCCAGAGGTGAAATTTTAGGTAGCACACAATTTCTTACACGCATGGTTGCTTTTCAGCACTCATGAAAGAAACTTAAGAAATATTTGAAAAAAAAGTTCATATAGTACATTAATTTTGAAAGAAATACCATATAATGTATGTACTCTGGTTAATAATATCAAAAAATGTATTAGAACCACCGTTTAATGTTATATTTGATACAAATTAATATTGCTCTCCCGAACGCTCTGCGCCTGGCCACTGAATAATAGATTTACTTAAAATTACATCCCTGGTCCTGGTTCTTTCTGTATCGCATCGTGGTGAATTCACATTTCTCAGAAATTTGACAACAAAACAAAACAAAGCGAGTATTTTTGTTGTCTCTCAAATAAATGACCAAATACAAATTTTTTAGCTTTG